GTTATTTTTAAATGGTTTTGTAGGAAAACATTTCTATATAAAAAACATTAAATATTAGCATATTATACATATAAAACCAACTTTCTCTGGTTATCATCTTCAATATGAAAATCATTCATTCACCCAAGGACTAAGTGCCAGGCACAAGGTATCAACTGGCTGAGCTACAAAGGTGAAGGAGATAACTGCTCTTGAAGGGCTCATGGTTCTACAATGTGAGAAGAGGTCTAGAAACAAATAACTATAAGAACAGAGTATCTTGAAGGGTACAGTAGAAGGCACAATTAACTTTCTTGAAAGATTAGCTACAACTTAATTGAAGATAAGGTATTTTAGCTAGGATTTAGCTAGGTATTTTAGCTAGTGAGGAGTTTAAGAGGCAAACAATAGAAAAGTAGTGAAAAAGGGAGAGCACATCTCAACCCGAGGGGATAACATGTGACAAAGAGATTCAAAGAAGTGTGAATGGACCCATGGCTAAGGCATGGGGAGGGGAAAGAAGGTGTGAAGAGAGGCAAATGAACATCCTGACATCATGAAGCTGGGCTGGAAGGTTCCAGTCAAATCATACACGGTGAATGTAGTATATTTGGACTTTTTCCCAAAGCCCGAATGAAGTCATTTATATTTGTTAAAAATGTCCAGTAAAGGACAGATGTGAGATTTAATACAGTCTGGAGAGGAGAGGAGCGGGCCTGGAGCAGGGTGGCCTGTTGGATGAATTGGATGAATATATTTGGGGGGAGAAGTTATGAGGCTTAAATTAGAACAGGAAGGAGAGATGGAGGACAAGACACGTGAGACCTGTGGATGGCCTGGGTGGTAACTGAAGAATAATGCCACTTCAGAAGATGATAAATAGACTCTGAGGAATAGGTTTGAATGAGGAGACCCTGCAGAGCGTTCAGGAAGCAAAGGGCTGGGGAAACAGAAAGATCTGATTACACCAGACGGGCTTTCCTATAGGCAGCTCTTCACTAGGCAAAATACATCTGCAGCCTCGGAAAGAGAGAACTCGAAATCTAAATCTGGGCATCATCACCCTCCAAGTTGTAGCTGAAACCATGGGAATGGGTGGGCTAACAGCAAACAATGAAACATCACTATACTACAGCACTAAAGGCATAAGTGAAATTAAGCTACCTCCACTCAACAGAACTTTCCTAAGTCATTCTGCATGACCATAATGAAGAGTATGAGGCAATGTGGAAAAGGGCTTGACACAAGCTAAAAAGATCAGAATACACATAAAATAACATGGACGAATCTCAAAATCATGTCACTGTGTGAAAAAAAGCCAGACACAAAAAGAATATGATGTATGTTTCTGTTTATACGAAATTCTAGAATACACAAAACTAACCTATGTGATAAAAATCAGATCATTTGGCTTCTGGAGAAGAGGGGTATCATCTACCAGAAAGGAGCATGAAGGCATTTTCTGGGAGGAGAGCGATCTTCAATACCTTGACAAAGGTTTAAGTTATATGAGTGTAAGCATTCCACTGTAGGCAAAAGATACCTTAATAAAAAGTGTCAGATATGGAATTGTCTATATTCATATAAACTAAGGCACAGGGAATATGCAAAAGTAAAAGCTCCTAGTGGAACTATGGGTTGTTTTCCCCTCACTTCACAATTTTAATTTTTGCACATTGTTCTTAAAGAAAATGTAAAACCCTCAAATACCCATAAGTATTTATCAATTACTTGTGAAAATGGAAAGCATGTATTTTTTCCCCATTGGAATCAGGAAAGAATCTCTGAAAGAAATTTACTCTCTGGAAAAAAAATTTTTTACTATCTGAAGACAATAAGGAAACACAGGATTATGGTAAGTACGTGACTGTAAAGTACTGAGGACTCACTGGAGGGAGGAGAACCTCATGGCTTTGTTCTGAGGGAAGTCGGGTTAACCTGGCAACACAGGACACTTGTCAGGGTAATGAGTGAGACAACAGGAAAGTTAGTCAACGGAGGGGAGGTTTGGAGGCAGTTAGATTCTGAAGGTCACAATCACAGACTACTTGGGTTTCAATGCTCCCAAGTTTGAGCTGTCTTTTTATTTTTTGCAGTTCTTAGTGTGGGAACCTTACCTTAATTTTCATAGAGAAGATAAAGAAATCAAGGGAAGAGTGACACCAACAGCCCTGCATTATTTTGGAGAGAAATGGTGGATTCTTGGCTGATGGGGACAGCAGTAGGGTTCTCTTTCTTGAGGTGCCTGTGGTGGGCCAGGCCCCATGACCAGCGCTCCACACATATTACCGTTTTACTCAGGCTCCATGACAATCCAGCAAAACACATATTAACCTTATGTTTCCAGTGAGGAAACTGGACTCCAAGAAGCTAGGCCACTTCTAGTTAGGAATCCATGGACAAAGGTCTAGAGTATGGCCTCCACTTTGCAAGCAAAGTGTGTCAGGAGGGGATCAATCATGTCTTATTGCCATCTGAGACTCAAGACAAAAAACAACCTACCCTGAGGATTTTTAGTAATATGGTCTAATTACAATTCCTTCCTGCAGCAAATGTGACTAATTACTACACAGGTATAAACTGCAGACATGTTAGTTCAATAGTAACTATTTAGTAGTAAATAGCACCTATAACATTTGGTGCGAGCCACTTTACAGTGAGTTACTTCCTGTACTCCTCATGACCACCCTCGAGCAGATAATTATTAGTGCATGTGACAGATAATGAAATTGGGAATCAAGACCCATAATGTGACTTGCCCCAGGTCAACCAGCCACCAAAGAATTGGACCTGGTTAGTGTGACTGCACAGTCTGAGTATTCTATACTACTGCCTCAAATTTTAAAATTATAATTCAAACTTTGCTGTGTCACCTGCTGTCTTCCATCTTAGTTCATGCTACAAACGATCCCACTGGCAGCTTCTGGAATATTCTTCCTGGACTGTTTTCTTCAAAAGAACGATATAATGCCTTCTCTTCTCTCTCCTCACAGAACTGAGACCATCCCCAAAAGGCTTTACATGTTACTTGAGAAGTTCTACCTCATTCAGCGGGGGCACTGATACATTCCCAGTTGTCCCTTCCATTGACTACTGTTCCTAATGTCATCTCATTACCCTGACAAGTCTCCTACTCCCAAGTTAACCCAACTCCACCTAGGTGACTGGATGATACGGAAAGGCCAACCACTGCATCTGGACACGTGGACAGCAGCAGTGAAGGCACACTTTCCTTATCACAGATGGGAAGCTGAGAATGTGTACAAACTGTGATTGCTATTTCCTGTCAGGCTATGTACCGACTGGAGGTGCTGAGGACCTGAGTCCCAATTTAAATCAGTTAACTGTACTATCCACTAAAAGGCAAAAAGAGGATCCCCTATTCATGCAGCATGAATGAGAACATTCATCTCTCATCCTGGAGAGGCCGAAGCGTGAACCATCAGGCAGGCTCATCTCCACCTCCACTGGGTCATAATGAACTCTAAGGCACGCACACAAAGGCCTGTTTCCTGATCTGCTCACTCTATATCCATTACGTTATTTAAGGCACACACAAAAGCAAATTAAGTTGGTCACTTGGGTAATCAAAAGGGCAGCAGTCTAGTTAAGTAACAGGACAGAAAGTCTCAAATGCTAAAGCCAGAAGCCTCTTTCTCTGCTGTGGTTTCCTTGAATGGTTTCCCTAGAATTTTCAAATCTTTGGGGTCCTGAAGTTCCATTTGTTTTAAAATTATTTTTCTATACAGAGTTCTTCATTTCCATAGCCCAAAATAAGGTCAGGAGAAAAGGATGCCCCAGCTAGGTAGTCAGAGTCTGGAGGGTTAGCCAGGAGTATGCAGTTGCCTCCTGTTGGGAGGTGAACACAGAACAGGAACACAGAGACAACCTTGGCCCCACATTCACTGCTATTTGATCTTTGCCTGGGGGTGAGGGGTGGCGGAGAAAATTTTTCAGTCCAACAAATTATATTGACAGTGTTGAAATTCTGGTCTTGTCCAAAGACGGGTTTCTCCCAGAACTGGGTGAACACAATTTTTGTCTCCGGCTCTTGCCTTTGCATTATTTATGCACATACCTACTCACAACTACTGACTCAAGTTGTGAGCATACACAGAAAATGGCAAAGGGCAAGGAATTCAGCCTTTTAATGAGTAACTCCAGACCTGGCTGGAGCTAAAGCAGGAAGCTGCTTCTCTAGGGCACGCAGGGCCCTCCCAGGAGCTGCCGGTTCACTCCAACACAGGAGCCGAGGTAGGGAAGGCAAGATTGTTGCATGAACCCTGAGGACCCTTCCAGGAGAGCCAAGAACGACAACTGAGATCAGCCTGGGAGCAGCGGCACCGGGTGGTGGGTGTTACAGATGTCAGAGGCTCGTGGCTCCTGGTAGGAGTGGGTCCTTACTCACCATCAGCCCCGGTCACACTGTGACACTAGCACAGAATGCACTCTCTTCAGATGGGCTATCCAGGATGTGCAGCACCCTTCTTTTTACACACTTCCTCCTCACCAACTACTCCAAGGAAAGCGTAATGTAATTACTTTTATCATAGAGGGAGTTTTCTCACCGCTTTTTAATATGGAAAGATGTTTGGGGGTAAAAAATGATGGAATTATTTAATAGGAATCCATACAATTACAAAACTCGCTCTGTCCCTGTCTTCAGGAAGAGAAATGTTTTGGTCATCAAAAGCTCTGCTAGGCTTAGTCAGATCAGTGCCAGGAATTCTGTGAACTTGAGGTCAAGCTGCCAAGATTCAAAAGAAATGTTGATATGAAGTGTTTGCACAGATACCAGAGTGGGACAGCTAAAAACTGCCAGCAGGCAACCCCAGCCACAATGCAAATGGGAAAAGCGAATTTTCCAGTTGTCTCCTCATCCTGTAAAACTGAGGGGAAAAAAAAAAAACAGAACAAAACAAAGCAAAACATGCAAATGTGCGTGCACACGCGCATGCGCGCGCGCGCACACACACACACACACACACACACACACACACACACACAAATAAAGCTCTTACCTAGCTCTCCTCGAAGGTTAACAAGTTCTTGAGATAGGGTTTTGTGTTGTTTCAGAGCTTCCTCTCGCTGCGGAAAACACACATCAGGTTACATTTTCAGAAGGGTCTCTTTCAGTAAAGGCACACATTTGTTATCACCAGGAAAATGAGACTCAGAATCGAGAAGCCAAGATATGAATCATTTAGGCTAAACAGTGTGTTGTTGAAAAAACACAGATGTCCCTTGGTTGTTAAGGAAATTCATGTTTCAAGATTCTTTTTATTTGCTCAGGTTCTCGTGAAACTTTCATTTGAGACACTCGCTGCATGGTACTTTAAAAATATTTACTTTGAGCCATGCTTCATTGCTGATCCAGAGAACCTTTCCACAAATGCATACTTAAGACTTAATGCATTCTCCTCCTCCAAGGGCAATAAAGCACTAATCAGGTTAAGATAAATATTTAATGTTCTAAACATATGCACTTATGTGCACTTTGTCCTAGATCTGCAAATAAAAGTTTTGTTACAATGTCAGTCCTAAAAGGAAGATACTAACTTGTTATAAAGCTACAGTGAAAAAGAATCCTTAAAAAAAGACAAAATCAAACTAATTTTACTCAGCTCCACATTATTTTCTAAGGATTATTATATTTGGTATCAGCTATTACTGTAAGGAGATATTAAGAGAAACGAATCAAAGAAAATAGGCGACTGTTCCAGTATTGAAAAAGCTATTATTAAAATTTCTGTAAAGAACAATTTCCAAGTTACCAGCAACTCAAAACAATCTCTCTCTCTCTCTCTCTCTCTCTCTCTCTCTCACACACACACACACACACACAAATACAGCAATAGATACAGTTTCTTCAAAGGTAGATTCTCTACCGCCAGGGCATAACTACAGAAAAGGCAGAATTCAGAGCTCTCTGAAAATGCCCTCACTAGGATCACCCGAGACGGAGCTCCTGCCGCATCTTGATCACAGTATTGCGGAGATCATGAGACCCAGTCTTTTGCAGGCAAGAGTTGCTCGTCATTCAAAGCATTTCCCCCTAATTCCAGACAAGCTCTGCCTCGGTCCCTGACATTCTTCCAGAAACACACTAGAAGCAAATACTAATTACCCTTGTTGCTGCACAGGGAGGGTAGAGACACATTTTGCTGCCGGAGCAGCCCATTTTCCAGCTTCTGTCTGCACCTGTCCCCACCCCACCCCCCGCAACGTCCAAGAAGTGCACAGGTGGCCACGCCACCCACCAGTCGGGTCTGCCTACATTCAAAGCTCTACCCGGAGGAGCACGATTGGTCCTCGGTTAGCCTTACTTCACATCCTGCAGGTTACCGTATGCCTCTCTCCTCTCAGAAGCTGATGCTGCAGCTTCTGCCTCTGGCACAAACAGCCTGAGATTACTTAAAGCCACAGCCCTTCATTTATGAAAAACGAGAGCCAGACATTAGACTGATCGATGGCCATTTACTTAAATATCAGCTGGTACAGTACAAAGAAAAACTGACCTTCTCTGCCTGGATAATGGAGTTATTTTTAGATTTGTGAACCTTTTTAGTCCCCTCTCTAATTGAGGTCGTTAGATGATCACACTTACTAATTAATAGAAAAGAGAAACTTGTTCTCCAAAACCTGTATACTGAAGAAGCCTGTGAACAAGGCGAAGAACAATCCAAGTGTGTGTTCTGTGACTTACAATTAAAAATGACATAGTAAGACGAATGGTGTTTGCTGCAAAATTTAATCTGAATGCTCAGAACCCGGTCTACTGGTGTTTAAAGATAAAGTGTGAAATGCTGATTGGAGAGTGGGAGATCAGATATCCTCTACAACTTGTACTTTTTATTTTGTAGTGGCCTCTCACTCAAGAGCTAGAGAAGTTACTGAACATGCTAACACTGTCACAGGGATAGTTAACAGTGACTGGAATTTAAGAAGCACTCTCTCGTTGACTACACTTTGCCATTAATGGTATTCTAAATGCTTGCTTTTTTAAACTGCAGTATTAAGTTATTCTGAAATTACAAACCCGTGAATCCATGGGCACCTGGGTGGCTCAGTCATTTAAGCCTCCGACATCAGCTCAGGTCATGATGTCACGGTTCGTGGGTTCAAGCCCCACATCGGGCTCTGTGCTGACAGCCCAGAACCTGGAGCCTGCTGCTTCAGATTCTGTGTCTCCCTCTCTCTCTGTCCCTCCCCTGCTCATGCTCTGTCTTCATCTCTCAACAATGAATAAATGTTAAAAACAAAAAAAATTCCTATTATTAAAAAACCCAAATCCATGAGTCCAGGTTTTAAAAAATGAACAAGTAATGAATTTTCCAATGTAGCAATTAAAGTCTCAGGAAAAATAAACCTGGATAAAACTGAAAGAAAAGCATATGGAAATAGATGTAATAATGCCTCTCTTAATCTCATAAACTTAGGCCATAATTTTGTTTGCTTAGTAATGTATTTCAGTACCAGCAATTTCGTCACGCCATTGTCAAGAACACCAGAAGACAGCTATACTAGATACCAAATCCTGTAACACATTCAGGGACTGCCTTCTAATTCACTTTCCAATAGCAGTGAAATGTCTAGTGGAAGGCAAAGCTGGCGAGAAGGTAAAATCACTTTTCAAACTTCCATCAGTGTGAAAGGTGAGGATTGAAAAATTAAGCTGATATGTAATTTCCGGAAGTAATTTTGTGAAAATGTTTACACCCTAGCACAAGTACCTACCGCATGATCCCTTGGCTTATGAAAGAGGTTTTGGGGACAAGGAATTTCATTTCATGTGAACACTTCTCCCAACTCTCCTGCGCTTGACCTTCCTGTCCCAGAAGCCACTGACAACTTCCAACCTCTGTCAATCTGAGTAAACAGTAACAGGAAAGCTGTGAGGTCATCTTTGCCCCTCCTTTGTCCAACTGGGTTGTTCTAAAGTCAGTCCATTCTTCCTTGACTCTATCACCCTTTTTCTTTTTAAAAAAATTTTTTTTAATGTTTTATTTATTTCTGAGGGGGAGAGGGGCAGCATGAGCAGGGGAGGGTCAGAGAGAGAGGGAGATACAGAATCCGAAGAAGGCTCTAGGCTCTGAGCTAGCTGTCAGCACAGAGCCCGATGCAGGGCTCGAACCCACGAACCATGAGATCATGACCTGAGCGGAAGTTGGATGCCATCCAGGCGCCCCTCTATCACCCTTTTCCTACTAGTGCTAACTTCACCGCAGTCCCGATCTCCAGAAATTCATTCCTACACTAGTGAAAGCAGTCCTCCACAGGACCTGGCAGGGGCTGCTAGAGTACTGTCCCGCGTTCTTTGTACTCATAGATGCCCTTACCCCGAAAAAGTTATTTCGTGGAGTCCATGAACAATAAACTTCACCCCAGTTCCAAGAATCTCAACCATCCAGCTCCTGTTTAGACTCCCAGTTCCTGTTCTGTGCAAGTCATACTTGCTACCCATGTCCTACCTCCACAGTAGAGAATGCTCAGCCTTCTTTACCTGACCCGCTATATAACCCTTAAAGGAATGCTCAATGCCAGTCATAGTTACCATCTCCTTTCCCCCAAAGTCTGGAGAGGACATTTACCTTTCTGAATTGATTGGCAAATTATTACTCGGGGCCCATTATGAGGCACCATTCCAGATGCTGGGGAAAAATATCAAAGAAATTTAAGACATGGTTCTTGCCTTCCAGAAGCGTGGGGCCTGGATAGAACTAAAATGGCCAGGCCCAACTCTTCAGTAGTCACTCAAGGCAGATGACCTCATCCGGTGGGAGGGAGTACCACGTAAAGGAAGAACTAAGGGCTTTATATATGATCCTATATGAAATGCAAACCCCAGGGCCACCCCATACTAAGTGTCAGTTTCTGCCTGACTCTCTCTGGGAGCTTGCCCTTTAAGAGATCTATCCTTTGCTTGCAGATGATGAAAATGCATTTTGTCACTCAGATACCGATTGCCTGTTTCTTTTTATTCAGCGACTCCTCTATCAGTGCTTCTGTCTTAACTGATAAACTCTTTATAGTCTAGATAGCAAGTTGATTTAATTCTCTTTGTATTTTAACATGCAGAATTCCCCACCATGTGAAAAAAAGCAGGAGCTGGGAATCTGGATACAAATCTGCTTTTCTATGCACGCATTAATATATGAAGTGCTCCAAGGAAAAACCGTGGATTCACCATAATTTAATTAGGGGTCCCTGGGACAGAGGCACTTAGTCTCTGGCTGCTGTCCCATCAGCGGGGCCTGGAGTGCTAGCTGCTGAGGAACACCACCAGCACAGGGGGTTTGAGGACAAAAGCCAGGTCACATGGCTCAGATGTGTGCTCTCTCACGTTCTCCCTACCACTCACACAATGAAGCATGTCCACTTTTTTTGTCCTGAGACATTTTTACTTATAGTAGCCTGCTAGGGTCACTCAGAATTCACCTTGTCTGGGTGCCACTTTAGGGTGGATTTCCCTCTGGCTGTCTGCACAGGACACTGCTCAATCATGCAAGGACAGACCCAGGAGTGGAACAAACTAAAACCAGCATCAGTGTGTCCTCTGAGAAACAGAAAGTGTGGTATTAGTTTCCAGACTCGTGAGGCACTTACTAGAACTTCCATGTAATGAATTATGTCTGCCATGAAAGTGGGAAAATTATAGGTATTAAACAGGCTTGCAACAAAAAGATAAGTGGTAGGTCTAGGATTTCCTATAATCAATCATTTTTATCCATACTCTAATGCTCTAAAGTCACTTAGGAAAAACTCAGCAATGAGATATATATGTATATATAGATCATTCTACATCTACAACCTACATCAAACTATCCACATATCAATCCATCAATCACTTTGATAAGGAGTATGAGAGAACCAAAGGGTTAAGAGGAAAATTGTTCCAAAGAATTACTTAACTTTCCCCCTTGTTATGTCTGTCCTTTCTACCTCTTTTATAATAGTACCCTGTAAACATTAGGCAATCAGTAAATATTTGCTGACTGATTTTAAAGAGCAAAGGACATTTGCATAAAGACTTTATATGTTCATCTTACATTGGGGATTCCATCCTCTCTATTCATCCATCTGTTTGTTCAGGTATGCAATGTGTGTCTACTATATAAAGCCTGGCCATAGATGCTGGGGTTATTTCCTAAAAAGGACCTAGACACAGATTCTACTTTCAGTGAGCCTCTGTTCTTAAAAAGCCAAAATGAGTGCAAATGATTAACTGTAATACAAGGTAGAGAATGACAGAGAAATAGAAGTGCCCCTAGAATCCAGAAGGTAGACAGAACAGAGAGCCAGAAGGATCAGGAAATAAAAGATGGAGTTTTTGAACTGAATTATAAGAAATCCAGTGGAGTCACAATTACATGGGCATTAAAACCTAAATTAGGTACAATATTAAAGTCACATACAGTAAAGTATCCCTGAGACTTGTTAAGAGTTTGTCCTGTTGTAGACTGACCAAACATTTGTCAGTATGTTCCAATGAGTAAGGTTTTTCTTCTAATGTTCGATCTACTCCTTCTTCAACTGAGCATCTGATCAAGAGTTTGGTTTGTGTTTATGAGCAAGGTTCTATGGGGAAAAAAATTATCTTGAAACAGCAGGATCCCATGGACCGTGGGAGGTTCATACCATGGGAGGGATTTAGGAACCAGAGGAAGAGCAGACTCTTTCATGTCACGTCCACTCCTGAGCCTTTCCTTATGGAGGGGCATGAAAGACAGGTCTGCCTGATCCACTTAATTTGCATTTTCTACTTGGTTGTTTGTGTAGTGAATCCATGTAAATCAAATGTAGGTAGTGGGATGATGCTACCCAAAGGTCTGAACACATAGATATTCGCAAGAAGGGCAGTGGCCCAGTAACAGCATTTGAACAAAGAATAAGAAAGTCGAGACATTCACAGATGATTTTAAGTTCCTAACGTCCTAGACCTAGGTTCAAGACCTGGTCTTCCTCTAATTAGCTGTCTGCTGAAGGGGAGATACTTAGTAGCTCCATGCTTCAAATTTCTTACTAGTAAATTCCAACTTGTGGCTTTGGACAAGATTTAATAAGTACAAATGTCTAGATCTTAGTAAATATTCAACAAATGTTATATCCCTCTTGATTCTCGTCACTAATTATACAGCTAGAGCAGATAAGCAGTGAGGTGTGGATAAAAAAGAGCAGCTCATGCCAAATTATAGAATCTTGTATTCCATGTTATACCCCAGAGTTTTCCAGAGGACATATAATGTGAGCCATACATATAATTTTAACTTCCTAGTAGTCACATTTTTTAAAAGTTCAAAAGATTAAATTTTAATATATTTTATTTAACTTAGTATATCAACATATTATCATGTCAACATATAGTCAACAGAGTGTTCAAAAGATATCTTACATCCTTTTTTTATACTGTCTTCAAAATCCATGTGTATTTTAATGCTTAATCACATATCTTACATTTGCCTTATTGCCTTCCAGGTGTCCAAAAGCTTCATAAAGACAGTAGCTACCACAGAGGACAGGTCAGCTGTAGACAATGGGGAACACTGAAGGTTTTAATCAGTAGAGTGGAATGCTTTGCAAAGACCAATCTGTTAGCAGTGCTTGGGATAAATTATAGTGAAGGGCATGCAGGTCTAAAATCTAGTTAAGAAGTTATCATAATTTAATGGGCAGTTATCCAAAGTCTGAACAAGGTTGGCATCAATAGGAGTGAAAAAGATGATTGGCGGGGGGGGGGGTGGGCAGCCACGTCAACACCGTAGGGTGAGGGCTCACAGGACTTAATGACTCATTCCACGTGAGAGATAAAGGAGAGAAAGGAATTGAACATGGGGCCAGTTAGGCTAGCTATAGTAAAACAAATTTATTGATTTATCACAAAATAGACCAACTAATTGTTTCCTGCATTTGATATTATGTGGTATCCAACTGAACCTACTTGATTATATAAGCCAGCTTTCTAATTCCTTCCTTACATATTAAAGAGAAACATAAGTACTATATATACCACTCTAATTTTAAAACTAGATGTATGTCTCTATCTTGCTCTCAAAAAGATGTATTTGGACAAAGCTGTAAAAATGTTCATCAAATATTGATCCCAACTGTTTATTAGCTCGGTTACGTGCAAGGGCACAGACCAAGTCTCAGTCACCTTTATCTCCCCTGCCCCAGACAGGCAACCATGTCACAGTAGCCTCTGTAGGAAGTGAACATAGGTTTGTTGGACAAACTGAATTACAGAACAGGAAAACTGAATAGTTTTCTTCCTGAGATACTACGGATACGCATCTTTTAAGACTGCGAGTAAAAAATTATCTCAAGAGCTCAAGTATAATCTCACCCCAGTGTTTCCCCTGAGATAATTGCAGTTTTTGTTGCTAGACCAGTAGCATATGTTCATGGAAACTTGGTTTCTTGATGCATTTTAACTAGTGCCTGAACTAACATCCTTGTAGAATGTCAGGGAAGAATAAGCAAGCAAAGAAAATCTGTTTCGCATCTGCTGTACACAAACCATGTTAGGAGTGGGTGGAAATTCTGAGGAGTCCCCAGACCCATACTGGGAGTTATCTCAGAAGTGTTCTTTGGCCCATAATCAATTTTATTTTTCAAGGCATTAAACTAAAGGTGATATGAAAAGCTGCATATAGACAAAAAATTAATTGAAAAAATGTTAATGCTAATATTGGAGATGTGTGTAAGTACAACAAACAATTATCTTTTGCCATTGTTGGTCTAAGTGATTCTGGAAGAGAAAAGAAAGTGGTAGAAATGTCTCCATACCAAATTTTGAGAGAGAGAGAGAGAGAGAGAGAGAGAGAGAGAGGCTCAAGTATCAAGTAAGTTGACAAAAGCATAATTGGATGAATTGTATCCGGTCTCACCATTCATTAACTGAAAAGTATTCACAGGACAATAGCATGAACACTGCTCCTCCCACACCCCTCACCTCAGGGACAAAGACTGTTTAGAAGGTACACATCCTTACCTCTGAGAGTAGGTGCTGAATCACAACGGTTAATGCTTCAAACCTGGTATTACCACAGGAAAGAAGCTGCTTGAGCTGCAGGATAAATCCACTTTGGTTTTCACATTTTGTTTTATACTGGGCCAACTCAAGTGTTTTTTCAGAGGACAGCACATCTGGAGACGTCTGGGTCTGGGTACACAAACTTCTGGGATTCTTTTGTCTGCCCTTTTCAACTGTAAAGGGAATGAGCATACATAGGAAGATATGTGATTTTAATTTTTATAATCACTACCATCTGGGTTCAAAAACAACTAAATAAGCCACAGAAATGCACTTAAGGTACATTTGCATAACGAACGTGTATGGACCAGAAATTAATCACATAGTTGTTTGGAATGTATGAGCACAGACCCTGTCTCTAGCTCTGACTTTCAAAGATTTACATGGGGCAAAAATCATGTATGTGAAAGAAACAGATTTAGCAATCCAGACACAGGAAAGTTGTGTGCAAAATAATGTTGATATCACAGTTTCTCATTTTTTTAGATGAATTGGCAAAGTATCCTGTGACAAGGTCCCTGAGTCTATATTCTGATTACATGTGCTCTATGAAAAATACAAGCGACTGGACTTTCAATACCTCTCCCTCCTCCTACCCTTTTTCTATAAATTTCCCATCCTTTCCTGCTGATGGCTTGGTCATTACAAAGATTTATACTGCAGATGAGTCATTTCCTAATCTCTAATAAATCATTACACATACTGAACATCCACTTTGTCCCTTAGGTTCATTGTTGAAAGTACTATACTCTTGACTATACTTTCCATTTTCTTTTCAACGCAAGCTTTATTGTTTTTCCCCTCTCCAAGTAGTAATAATGGTCTACGTATTTTTGTTTAAAAGCTCATGCTAATACTCCAAATCCAACTAAGATGCTGTGCTAAGTGATTATTCACTTTCTGTGCCACGGGTGTCCTGAGAATTACTTTATTTTAAATGAAAAACTGCTCAGTTTTGGAACCATTCCAAATGTCCAAATGTTACTTTAAATATCCAACAAATTGGAAGAACACGAAACAAGCTGCTTAGCTTCTTGAAATAAGTAGGCCAAGGAATCAAAGCAAAACTAAATCTGAAAAAAAAAAAAGATACAAGAAACAAAAACAAATGGTTTCCTGCTCTCAGACGTATTCCCAATGGCGTTCACATTCTGTGGGAACAAACCTAACGAACTTTTCTAGATGGGAATTATTTTCTCTAATTTTTCGGGGGGAGGAAAACTGTAATAATTTCTCAGGAAAAAAATAAACTTGCCAATTCATGCTCGAAGAACCAATAACAAAATACACTCAATATATTCCTTAAGTTAAGAAAAAGGGCGAAAAAAGTTTATTTTTTTTTGTTGCTTTCTGTGGCTCCATGACTCATATTTGAGTATTAATACTTGATAATTCACTGTTCTAAAATGACTAAAATATCTTTTGTGTTTTAAAAATACTTAAAGGGTCAGGTATTTGTCCATAGTCTTTTTTAGTAATCATTAATAGCTGTTTAGCACTAATTGCCACTTCCAAATCAGATGAAGAAAGCAACCAAGTTCATAGTCATAAATTCAAGTCCTATAGGGACAGCATTTGAGAGAGTCACATTTTAATGAAAAAATAACCTAAATATTTTACAGTTTGTCAAAGCGTCTGAAATTAGTGTTCATTTTACATCATTTCCAAAATGTTCTTAGGAGTTCTCTTCTTCACATAATAACTACACAGTGTGTTATTGCTCAGTGAGTGTTCTCACTTTCTTTTATCCACTTAGTAACCCTTCGTAGGTAAGGTGAGGTTCCAGGGTGGGAAAGGGCTTGTCCAGGCTCATCCGGCTTCCACAGGACAGATGCAAAGTAAGAAGCTAGGCCTCTGACACCCAATGTCTACTGTTCCCACCTATCCCACCCAAGTAGAGATGGGGAGGAGATGTATTATCTAATTAAAAATAATTTATGCAATAATCATAACAAAATGTTACCTCAGTATATCAAGCCTGTTATTTGCTAATTCTTCATTTCAGTAAGCCTACATATAGATAAGCATCAGCGTTTTATATAGTTTCCTCTAATTTTATTCAAACAGAACAGCAATATATACATATATTGCTATATATCCTATACCCTGCTATATATCCTACCAATAATTATGTAATTCATTTATTTATTGATACACTGCATTGATTTTATCATTTTCTAAATTCCTTATCAATGGGTGATTCTCTTTCCAGAATTTCTATGCTGATCAATTTTATTATTTAACACAATATCAGAGTTTTCAAGTATTAAGTTATAATTATTTACAAGAATATTTTCTTCAAAGATGTTAATATAATGTATTGAGATGTAATATTTTATATTAACATCTTTGAAGAAAATATTCTTTAAAATCCTTGTCTATTAAACACTTTTTGATGAATTTTACTGGTCAGGTTCTACTAGGTTATTTCATAAGATACATTTATATTAATTTATTAATCATTGTTTTTCTACCTTCAGGTTCAGAATACAGGTATTTCTTTTGTAGCACCCAATTTTGTATTTTCCTTCAAATTATATCAAACTCAAGCAATAGCTAGTAATATGTTTGGCTTCTTTGTAAACATTTTTTACAGTGTTATCTACATTTTTAAATTTTACTCTAGTTAAAATATTTGCTATTAATATTGTTTGGATAGATTACTTGATATTATTTATCTTTTTTTCTTATTAAATGGTTTTAATTCCATTTCTAACATTATTTTAAAAAGAGAAGAGAGGGGCTCCTGGGTGGCTCAGTCGGTTAAGCACTGACTCTTGGTTTCAGCTCAGGTCATGTTCTCATGGTTCGTGAGTTTGAGCCCCTCTCTGGGCTCTGCACTGTCAGCTTCGGATTCTGTCTCTGCCCCTCCCCTGCTTGTACTTTCTGTCAAAATAAATAAACTTTTAAAAACTAAAAAAATTAAGAGGGAGATAGACATAGTATCTTTTTAATAAAATACATTTTTTTTACCATCTGAAATGTAGTTCCTCATTGTTTTTGAAGCATAAAAGACATTTAACATAATATTAGTTTCAGATGTACATGATGATTCACTATTTGTATATACTGGGAAATGCTCACCGGAATAGTCTAGCTAACATCTGTTCCCATACATAGCTAAAATTTTATTTTCTTGTAATGAGAACTTTAAAGATCTCTCTTAACCAGTTTCAAATATGCAATACAGTGGATCTACTCTATTCCCATACTGTACATTATATCCCCATGATCTTTTTATTTCAGAACTCAAAGTTTGTACCTTTTGATTCCTTTCACCCATTTCACACTCCCACCTGCCCACCCCTCAAGACAAACTTTTTTCAGCTATGTCAGTCCAACTATGTAAGCTATTTCCTAATTTGTTGCTGAGAGTCTGATGGCTTAAGTCCACAAGTGAGGTTGGTGCCTCTACATTTCCTTTATTACATTTTGGTTGCTTTAGTTTTTGTTAACAATATGGCACTTGTGCTTATAAAAGTCCTATCCTCCATATTTCAGAACTGTTAACTGTGTCAGGGCATATATACTCTTTGGAAGTTTAGAAAATTCTCTAGAACCCAACACTGCATTAAGAATGCTGCTAAGATTACTCTAGCATGAACTTAAGTGGTTTTTGTTAAGCTATATCCTGGGATAAAACATCCACTGTCCCAGTCTGACTACACTCCAGTCAGGCACATCTCTTGGTGCTCAGTTGCTTTTCATTGATGCTTTGCCTGGTTACTGGCTCACCTGTGGCTGCAGTGTTAAGGTGTTAACTCTAACAAGAGAAGCAGGGGAGGGACAGCACTGTGGTACAGTAAAACCCAGCTGTCCACATGACAGGTGCTTTTCCTCTCAGGCTTTGTTGTTGTTGTTTTCTTTTTAAAATTTTTAAATGTTTATTTATTTTTGAGAGGGAGACAGAGCACAAGCAGGGGAGAGGCAGAGAGAGATGTAGACACAGAATCCTAAACAGAGTCCAGGCTCTGAGCTGTCAGCACAGAGCAGGACCTAGGGCTCAAACTCACAGAGCACAAGATCTTGCATGACCTGAGCCGAGTCAGATGCCCAACCGAGTGAGTCACCCAGGCGCCCCTCTCTCAGGCTTTCTTAGTGGCTGGAGAACTGGAGTTTCTAGAGACAGGGCGCCCCACATAGCAGCATTAGCTCTTAAGTGACCAGCCACAAAGACCTTCAGCACCACACCTAGGGCACAACGCTGTTCTGCCTCAGGGAGGGACTCAAACTGTCAGCCGTGTACGTCGCAATGCAGCTTTCAGGGCTACCCAGCAAGAATCTCATTCAAATGTTTAAACAGTTCTGGGAATGTTGGATTGCACAATTTCATGCCCTCAACTGATGTTTAAGAACATCAAAGCTTTGTGACAAGTCTTCTTGATCACACCCGAGCTTCAACTGTTGAATTCACAGCTGGTAAGCAAGACTTTATTCAATACCAAACCCCACACAGGGGTACAATGACATTAAGTAAAGGATTTCCACTGCAAACTTGCTTGCAAAAACAAGATCAAAGACAACCCAAATGTCCATAAGTAGAGGACCAGTTAAGCAAACATATGACACATTTCTATAGTGAAGTATCACAACTGTAAGAAAGACCTAGGAAGCGCTCTAGTAAATGCAAAATTCAGAGTAAAGAGCAATGTAAGTTATATGCCCTGTTGTGTAAAGATGATAAAAATATAAGAGCATGTTTTCTATTTTGTTGATAAATTCTTAACAGCATTATTGCATAATACATACAAAAGTACTAACGATGTTTACCTTTCCAGTCAAGGGGATAAGAACCAGACAGATACAAGGTACTCTAATATATTTTTTATGCTTTTGAACCATGGGATAAAAACATATCACCTATTCAAAATTAAAAAGTAATTATTTCCTAAACATGATTAAAATGAATTCTGAGCATTTAAATTGTTAACACTCAGCAATCAAAAAACATAATTAATCCATGTTTCTTCCTCGGGGAATATAGACAGGAATTTAATAAGACAGGTTTTATTGCATGTGACGACACAAAATAGAAGGAAGAAAGAAAACATTGTCATGTTAATTCTTCTAAGAGTCCATGTCTTCAGAATTTAACGTAAGAGCAAATAAGCAAATAGAATGCCCTCCACCTAGAGCTGGAAAATCAAGTTGTAACCTCAATCTTCCGCTCCAC